TCGGATGAGGCTGGCCCCCTCACCGACTGCGGCAGTCAATCGTGCAATAGGCAGAGACTTCGACAAGTTCGTCAAGCTGGCGAAGGCAAGCTCGTTCTTCGAATGGGCGTGTCCTCGCCACTAGGCGGATGGTGTCCTCTCTCTTTACTTTCCTTTGTTGCTTCTTACTTCTGCGACCCGTCCAGGCGGAGGGTGTGTCAGCACCCTTTGCCCGCCCGGGTCAATTGAGGCTGCTCCCGCAGCCTCCGACGATGGCTTCTTTCGAGGCCAGTAGAATACGGCACTTGGATGCCGCGCTTGGACGACCCGCTGACGGGCACCGAGCACGAATTGGAGCGCCTCAGAGCCGATGAAATGCTGGATGGTGGTTTGTTTACTTTTCGCGATGGGAAAATGAGGGGGCACGAGGGGGTAATCTCTGAGAGGCCCACCAGAACCTGTATCGATAACGTAGGATAGACCCACTAGCTCAGCACGTCCTGTGCCCCATTGGGACCTGAGCGGCCTCGCGGCCGCTGGACGGAAAATACACTACTACTACTACTACTACTGCAACTAACTGGTGGTGGGCACAAGGCAGGCTTCGGCTTCACTACTCTGCGACTACCGCCCGCAACGTGAAAGCACGATGGGATGTACGCAGTTCCAGCGTCGCCTACCGGTACAGTAGTGCCCGTCTCGGTAACTTGCGGGAAGACGACGTCGGAGTGCATCGTAGCCTGCGAACCGTTCGGGCACTTCGAATACCGAATGACCCAAGGTTGCACGCAAAGCTAAATTGTCAGCGCCAAGTAGGCGAGCCGGGTTCGTCGAGCAAAAACCGCCGACAGCGACGAAAACCGAGCATGAAGTGGAGTCGATCAATACCCTGTGAGACTAGATACATGTTTTGTCGGGCTTCGTAGCGACGTAATAAGCAAGGGGCCCGTCCCAAGGCACTTGGGTAGACGGATGGGTAGCATTTCCGTCCACAGATGGGACGTGGAAGGCTCCGGCCATGGCTGCGACCGCCATTGTTCATATCGTCCATGACCATGTACATTACCGCCCAGTCGTCCGCCATCCGGCGTTTGTCGCAAACCGAAGTGCGGCCGGGGGGTTCAAGCGTCTGTTGGAGGCTACGGCCGCTTCTAGGCCAGCGTGAACTATGACAAGATTTCCCCAAGTCATACTATAGGATAACAATCCTGCATGCCAGACAAGTACCTCCTTGTATAGAAAGTGATGTATGTGGGTTACGCAGAAATTGCACCAAGAACGTTGTCGACGAACATAGCTTCAAACAACCTGTCAGTAGCTGGCCGTCCAATGCCTCGGGATCCGCAGAGATTCTGTTTCGTACGAGGGTGCCGACATTCGCCACAGTCTGTCCAGGTATGTGCCGTTGGGGGGAATCGTGCAGCCTTATACGGGCCAGCTGGGGTGTTGCAAGGCAGCGCATCCGAGGGTGAATGCGTCGCGGTGCTGAAATACAGACTTATAGCAAATCTCTCTGTCAGCACCAGCCACACACTGTGGGGTCTAGCGAGGAACTCAGTGTGAGCGGCGCAATGGCAGACAGACTTGACACGGCGGTAAGACGTCGCATCATTGTGGAAGGCAGTGCCCATACACTCTGACATGGCCGAAACAACTCAAACCCCCTCAGCATAAATTTTCAGAGAATGCAAGCAATCTCGCCAAGAGGTACGGAGGGCGCTGGCGTGTGTCCGTCCAGTTCAAGCACGGGCGTCAAGGCTCATCTTCCGTAGTGTTGCCTGGTACTGAGCGCTGTCCGCCCATAACAATTCTCATACATTCGCCGAGCCGATGGAGTCTGCGACTCTTAACCTGGCCCTGTGTGCGGTGTGTGGCCCCTTGGGATTTGGTTCACCAAGTACATGCCGTAATCGGAGCCATACTGCCTGCCGGGGGACATGATGGGTTCATCTTGGCCAGCTCTTGGCTGCTGGACGTGAAAGGAAGGCGACTGAGCTCGGTGTACCGGCTCGTGCTGTGTTGCGATGGGCCCAGTCCTATGGCCTGCAGCCTGTGACCACATGGGCTGGTTGATATACTTGTGTGACTGAAGAGATTGCGGATACAGGTTCTCCCTCAACGCCTGTGGAGGGTGCGTCGGGGGCAGGAGCGGCTGCGTAGCAGCAATTGTGGCAGCCGTGTAAGCCGATGTGCGAACGGCCGGCAGTGGCGATGCGGTCGCCGCCAGAGCCAGCAGGCTGCTGCTCATTTGTGCCAGGGGACGATGGCTGCTCTGGACGGTGCGGCCAATCTGTTTGCATGTGGTCGTACGGTGTGTGGCGCTGGCAATTGGAATATCCACTGACCCCGACAAGGTCAGGAGGCGGCACCCGAGCTTCGTGTGCGGTCGAGATCATGTCCATGGCCGGGTTTTGGTGTGGGCCAGTGGCCTGCCGACTTGAAGTTCCATTGACGGTGCTGCTCCAATGTCTTGGATAGGCCCCGCTAGAATATGTCCAAGCCGCGGCCGCTCCGGCCATCGCTGCCGTGTTCTTTGGTGGAGCGGCCGTCGTGCCTGCAAGTTTGGATCGCTGTGCATCGGGCTGCGATGGCGTTTCGATGGCGGTATTCAAGGCGACTTCTATGCGGGGGCAGCTCTGCAAGTGATTGTTTCTAGACTCGGCCATGGCCCGGCTTTGGGAGCCTGGTCGCTTTTCGCCCGCGGGATCGGCTTCGGTGAAACCCTGCTTGCGCGCCAACGTTTCCCAATAGTCGTCGCGGACCCTGCGCCCATCCTCAATAACGCGGCTGCCAAACTGTCGAAACATGGATCGGGCCGTCACAATGGCGATCTGCCTTGAGCGGAACGAGGATAGAAGGATCTCACACTGCACGAGATCGTCCTTCTCGACTTGGCTGGCGACGATCTTATATAAGGACCGATTCTTGTTGAACAGCATATAAGAATCTCGGTATCCTAGCTTTTTGGCGCATTCGGTCGCCAGCATGAAGAGTTTGTCGCCTCGATTAGCCACAAGAAACGTCCTACACCGGTAACGTCTTCCGCCTAGAAGTTGCCCGTTGGCCATGACCTTCTTCTCTCCGAAGTGGTCCACCTCTCGCGGAAGGTATTCATCGCCCATATGATTCAACTGGTCTGTCGTGTGGTCTCTAGGATTCGGGAGGGCCTTGAGCGGCGACCACGTCGTCGGCGTCTTAGAAGCTTCGGCCGGCGGTGCTGAGCGCTCAGCAGTCGCATGATCGGGCGTACTGGTCTTTTGCGAAGCAGGGGCTTGCGGCGGCTGGTCGCGATGGTCACTTGACGGCGTGCCGTGGGACGAAACGGGTGTATTTCCAATCGCTTTGAACAGCTCCATTTCGGGAGAGCTTTTTCTTTCCGTTGTTTGTTTGTGCTGTCTTTCTGCGTCGCAATCAGGACCCATTCAACGCGGCGGTACTCGCAGTCGAGGGCACGAGCTGCGGCTACCAGCGACGGAGTCCGGGAATGGCACCGGCGCTGGTATGCCTGATCGATCGCACGGCGCCGTACGCACCGGGAACCCACTGTGGCAGCAGGGCGGCGCATCTGAGATGGCCGTCAAGGGTAAGAGGGTAAGTTCCCAGGGCTTGATCCGAGAGGGTCCACTGGCGACAAAGTCGTTTGGGTGCGCTGGACTCGACGAAGCACAGCGGCGAGGGGGAAAGGCGGCTCATGGCGATGATGGCCAGGTCATGCACCTGAAAGCTAACTGGCGCGGACTTCGTAATGAAACCTCAGTAGCGTCATCGCCGTTGGGTGCTGCCTGGCTGTGATGGCGCTGCAGGAGCAGAACACGGCAGCTGACTTGAGCTGCCGGATTGCAAAAGCAGACTAACCAGCACCGGAATTACTCGCGAGAAACCACGTGACAACCAGCAGCGGGAGTGGGGCCAACGGGTAAACAAACACGACGACGGCGCCAAAAGAGGGCCGACGACATCTCTTATGCAAATGGGAAGCACCGCCTTGTTCGAGTTGACGTCGTCTCGAGGAAAAAAGACGGGCTAATTACTGCGGAACTACCAGGTTCAAAGCCTGCGCACGCATTGTCCGAATCCACATTATCTGGATGACGAGACTGGTTCGCTCTCTCCTCCGACTGACGTCCCGAATTTCGGTTCTGTCCCGTGGTGGAGAAACCGGCACTGCTTGGTAGGCGTCCATTCGCTACTTGGTATTGCGCGCCGGAGGTCTAACATTCTGCCACGGCGATGCAATAAAGACAAACATCTTTGAGATTTTGTTCTCGGCCGCCGTGATACCTAAAATTGTGGCTCAGTTGTCACGCGGGCTACATTGCCGAAACGGACTCCAACATACGGTTAAGCCCCCGGTTTTACGCCTGTAACCACAACAAAGTCGAAAATAGGATGAACATGTTTGCGCTTTGCTGCTGCCCGCACAAGGGCATTGAACACCTCCACCTCCTCTTGCGACCAGCCTAGGATATCCCTGAACAATACTGCGGTGAATGCGTCGACGCCCTCATAAAAGTTGACCGCAAGAAAGGCGCCAATTTCCTTTAGCCGAGGGTCTTTTGGCCAGCTACCGACGGGTAATTTGAAGCGCTGTTCTTCGACATTAGTGAATCCCGCTTCACTAACCCAGTCCTTAAAAGACGGCGCTGGGTCAAGTGTCCGTCCAATTCGGCTGCAAGCCTCGATAAGCAGGTCCATCAGATGCACCAGAGGGTTGTCCGGTTTGAGGGAATCATCCTCCGAATAGAGCGTGTTAGCGGTTTCCTGAAGCTCTATCCACCCTCCCGGCTTGAGGTTCTCGTAAATATGACGGATCAAACGTGGCCAGTCTTTGATCGATCCCGCCATGTACCGACAGTGGATGTAGTCGTATTTTATGGATTCGACCCAATCCAGCTCGACATCGTCGACAAAGAACTTGACGTTTGGAGGCACCAACGGCGGCTGAATCGGACTGAGGTCGTTGCCGACAATAGTGGCGCCAGGATATAAGTCCGCAAGGTCGATCGGCCACAGACCTGTTCCTGTGCCTATGTCGAGAATGCGAAGCCCATTCGGTTCAACTGGCGCGAGAAATAGGCGATCGTTGAGCGCCCGGTAGTAAACATGGTGAACCATATCCAGTCGGTCCTGCTCTCGATCATCGTTGGGAAAGTTGTACGTCCCAGACCGATAGCTGTGGTATCGTCGTCCATTCTTCCATTCGTACTTCATGATGCTGCTGCGCAACGACGTGCTGGAGGATGAGACCTCATCGCCATAGGTCGAGTCCACTTCATCCTCATCGACCTCGACGCGGTCTTCGGCTGAAGAGTCAGCGACCTCTTGCTGAGGCATAGCCACAATTGGTGAGATAAGAGCTGAGAGAAATATGCTAGAGTGAGGTCGCGAAACTCGCTGCGGGGAGAAATCACGCTGCGGGCGCCGACTCCGCACACAGTGCAAGGTATGTTTGCATGGTAGGTTCCCAGGTCGACAGGCTGGACCAGGACGGTCGCCGTGTTTCTCGACTTCCTCTTTACTGGTCGAGTGGGGAGAGGAAATAAGCCCCCCCGAGGGGGGGAGGGGAGGGGGCGCGGAGGGCAGGTTAGGCTGTCAGGGTATGTCTGTTGGATGGAACTCGTGCCTGCGACAAACTGAACTCATTGCGCTGGCAACGGTCAGGGACAAGGCCTTCGGAACCATGGTCCAACACGCCGAGAAAGTCACATTTGCACGACCCTTTTTTTTTTTGTTAGATTGGCGAGCTAGCCGTATGCAGTACGGACTAGACGAGCGCCACAGCAACCCCCGCTGAGCCAGTGCTGCAGTCCCCAGATTAAAATACCCACTGCAGCACCTCCCTGGCCGCTCCCGCTCTGCACCGCTCTGGCAGTCTCACTCTATCCCTCTGGCAGTGAGGCAGCGGAGGCGGACCACTGCTCACCTTGAGGCTTGTGGCTGCGTGCACCATTGACGAGGCTCCGATCACTACTGTTCACATTACTCACCTGGCGAACGAGAAAGGGAGCGCCGTGGGCCTATCCACTTGATGGAACCGCGCGACGCACTTTCAGTACGAACTAGACCTCAGGTGCAACCGTAAGGCGCCATCGTTCCTGAAAATGCCATCCCTCATCCCCTGCCGACCTTGCCCCGGACGATGTAATGCCCCACCTGGAAGCCTGCACCGGTGCGACAATATGCTAGCCGTCTTGAGATTCTTCTTCGCTACTACAGAGACCCGATTACGCCGTTTGCCATCAAGAGTCGCCCCCAATCATCAGTGGAGGGTAAGATTCCTCGCGTCAGCTCGCCTTGGGGACGTGCGGCGTTGATGGCGCCCATGACGCAACTCTCCAACCAAGGCTGGATCTGATTCCGTAGCTTGGATCAGTGCGACGCGCTTTGCCCAGCGACGACGGCTGCAGCCGTGATTGACGCCGGCCCGCCCCCGCCTTTCAAGGGCATGAAATAAGGCGGCACTGACCCCACTGCCTGTGGCAGCGCGGAAGAGATGTGCAGATCCGAGCCTGGTGGTTAGTGTGAGTCTGCTAAGGTGAGCCGGACACCTTCCGAAGGGCTGATCCTGATTGTTCAGTTGAGCCAAAGGTCGCGCGACGGCTGCGTTACGGTAACGGACTTGTACTCCTCCTGGATGCCCCTGCATATAACGCCCGGAGATCGATCACGGTTCCCAGTATCCACTACTCCTCCACTCGTGTCACCTGAGCGTCCAGAATCTCTGCGACCGCTCCAGGAACAGGGGTCATGCTCGGGGGTATTGATGCTTTTGTGGAAAAGCGCCGAAAATGCCAACAAATCCCTGCCGCGGACTTCCAACCCCACAAGGCCGTCCTGCCCACTCCTCGTAGCAGACAGGCAAGTCACTCGAGGACCGGCCAGGACCCCTGTTGAAGACTTCGGGCTCAGCCGGATTTGCATTTCCAACATTCAGATCCGGGCGATCCAGATTCTCCTCTTCATGGACCCCACCGGGTGACGCTTGTCTTGCTGCGATATACATCGAGATCGCTAATCTGCGACATCTTCAGGTCGCACCACAAGCGAGCAAAAAGGTACGCCCGTCCGCATGCCACGATCGTCAAGGTCTGAAGGTGTCATAGACGAGAGCGAATCGCGGCCCCTTCCGAATACGAAGAGGGATGCAACGTGCTTGACAAAGACGACGAGCGGCCTCCTCGCTGCAGCATCTCGTAACTCCACTCTCTCGCCACACTGCAGGAGAAAGAGCCGCGTCCGATAACCCGCAAAGAGAAGACGCCGAACAGAGGCACAGAAACTGCCCTGTTACGCCAGAGGGCCTGCTATTGCTCCCCAGGCTTAACAGGGCGGACCGGGTCCGGTGGCTCACCATGAGGCCCTGCCTTGGCGTGGTCCATGGTGCGTTCTTCGCCCAATGGCTGGCGCGAGCTTCCCACACCTCCTGCTTCTGCGCTAGGCCTGTTCCTGAACAAGGCATCGACGACGATTCGACTGCCTACAACAGCCGCCCTCCTCATCGTCGACTCTGACTGGGGCTGGCTAGAATGGGGTCTCATCTTATCATGGCGTTTCGGTACTGCGGGCATGGGTCTTTTGCCTGTGCCTCTTGGCGCTCTGACTGTGCCGTGCGTATGGATCACGATTGGACGCTGGCCTGTAGTGTGCCCATTTTCCAGTCCAGGAAGTGCCCGAAGGTACGATGTAGCAAGGCTCCGCCGTGCCAGCAGAGCCGCATTGCACGAGTTGCCCGCGGGGAGGCGGCGGGCTGCCCGTCAAAACGGGAGGCGCTCCTCCGGCCGAGTCCATCCCATTTCTACATCAACTCTGCCTCTGTGTCACGTCTCAGAGAAACGGCTCGGTTACCAGGCCGCCTGCAAACGTTTGTTTGCGTCCTTTCGTTGATCTCAGTATCATCACACTCTTTACTCGGCTTCGGCCAACTTGCAGTCTCTCCCTGTTTTGGTAACGCAAATCATTCCACGACGGAATGTCTCTCTCTGTTCGCGGCGTGGTTGGCGCCAGTGTTGGCGCCTTCGGCGCTCTTAACGGTTACTGGGTCAGTCTTCAACCCGGCCAAGGCATGCTCACGGGCGCTCTATGTTGACACTTTTCGCAGGGTCAAAAAGACAACCAGGGCCTGCGAGCTTATTGTGATAGTGGTGTTAGCTCTGTTACCCTGGGTTTTATCAACTCGGCTCCGGAGCACGACAAGTCGGACCTGAAATACCCAGGCATCAACTTCTCTACCCACTGCTGGGCCGAGACGTACACTGACAAGAATGGCGTCCCTTCACCCCTGTACGAGTACTGCCAGAGCCTGAAGACGGACATCCCCTACTGCCAGGATAAGGGCGTCAAGGTCATCCTGAGCATTGGTGGCATGTACAGCAGCGCCAACAATTACAAGGTCTCGACGACTGCCAACGGCGTCCATTTTGCTGACAAGGTGTACCAAATCTTTGGCCCCTACAACCCCACAGCCGGTGTTGCCCGCCCCTTCGACTCCCCCGATAGGCACGTGGCTGTTGACGGCTTCGACTTTGATCTTGAGGTCGAGCTTGGTAAGACAAATATCGACCATGGACGACACCCTCCAGTGCTGATAGTTTCTCCCCACAGACAACAAGCCCTACATCGCTATGATCAACAGGCTGCGTGCTCTTGACAATTCTCTCATCATCACTGGCGCCCCTCAGTGCCCCCTGTCCACCACCCCGAATGTCATGGCCGAGCTGCTCCAGCAGGCTTCCTTCGATGCTCTGTTCATTCAGTTCTACAACAACCCGGTGTGCGACTACGTCGCTGACGGCAATGGTGACAAGTTCAATCTGGATGAGTGGGTCAGCTTCATGGCCAAGAGCAACAGCAAGTCTACCAAGCTCTACGTTGGCCTCCCTGGCGGCCCGACCTCAAACTCGGCCGGCTCTGGCTACATCTCCCCTGACAAGGTCAAGGAGTTGGTGTGCAAGTACAGCACCAAGACCCCCAACTGGGGCGGCATCTCAGTCTGGGACCTCGACACCGCGGCTGCCAACGTCGTCAATGGCAAGAACTTCAACCAGCACGTCGCCGATGCCCTTAAGTACGGCTGCAGACCTGTTCCCACGGCCACCAGCACGACCGCCTCGTCCACCAAGTCTTCGTCGAGCTCGACCACAAGGGCTAGCTCGATGACTACCAGCAGCACGACCAAAGCCAGCTCCACCACGTCCAGCTCGACCAGCAGCAGCGTCTCCAAGGCTAGCTCGACCGCCAGCAGCACCTCTGTGGCCAGCTCCACCACTGTTAGCAGCACCACAGAGTCCAGCTCAAGCACCACTAAGGAGTCGTCTAGCAGTTCTACCAAGGCCACCTCCAGCACCGCCAAGCCCACCTCCGCCACCACCACGAACGTTACTTCTCCTCCCGTCCCGACCTCCACGCCGGTGACCAGCACAATGTCCAGCACGACGACGTGGTTCAACTCGACCATCACCTCGGGCACTGTCTCCATGACGACGAGCACGGTCTACACCACTTCCGTGCACACCGTGTCCAAGTGTCCTCCCTACGTGACCAACTGCCCCCACGGCGGCTATGTCACGACTGAGACGGTCCCGCTCTACACCACCGTCTGCCCTGTCACGAAGACGCCCAAGCCGTACCAGCCGACTCAGACCAAGACCTCGGCGGCGTGGACCACGAGCACCGTCTACACCACTAAGATCAACATCGTAACGACCTGCCCGCCCCAGATCGCCAACTGCCCCGTCGGCCATGTCACTACCGAGACCATCCCATGGTATACGACCGTCTGCCTCGTCACGGAGACGGAGACGGGCAAAGTGCCGCAGCCCACTCCCAGCGAGTCCACCATCACCGAGACTGTCACCAATCCCGCCGACGTGGCGCCCAAGTCTAGCTGCTCCGGCCCCGGCTGCCCCGGCGTCTCGTCTGGCGTGGTCGTGCCCACGCTGAGCTGGACCACCACCCCGGTCGCCCCCTCGCAAGGCTTCACCACCACCCCCGGCGGCCCCTCGGCCGTGCCCAGCAACCCAGTGCAGGCCGGCGCCTCCACGCTAGCTCTCAGCCTGAGCGGCCTGGTCGTCATGGCCGCGTTCCAGGTGTTTGCTCTGTAAGGTGCGGCAGGGATTTATGCTTCGAGGCTTTTCATGTCTCTCTCAGCATAGACAAACGAGCTCTCACGCCGCGCTCCGCGCTTTGCTGACAGCTTCCCGCCGAACTTAAACTTCTTATACCTTTCTCACGAATTTACGGTCTTTTGCGTTTAGACGGAAGGCATGTATTCTGGATGCATAGTGAAATAATCATCACCATATGGATAATTTACTTATTTGGCCGTTGTGACCCGC